TGGCATTGTTCTGTGCCTTCTTGCTCGCTTTCTTGCCCTTGCGTCCCTTCATCCTGGCCTTCTCCAACAGCCGCCGCTTCTCTGCCAGACGTTTGCGCTCCTTCCTGTCCTTGATCTCATACTGCCGGATCAGAGCCATGGGAGGATGGCCAAATATGTCCTCGTATTCGCAGAATTCGCATATCCACGGCTGACTTGGCGGGTTGTGGAAGTTGGCGTACTCTTGCTGAATGCGACGCTTGCGGGCAGCATACTCGTACAGCTTTGAGGCGCTACGTCGTGGCTTTCGAGGCGGCGGTGCCTGTTGTGGTGGTGGAGGTCCGGTCGGACGTCGTGCAGTCCCATTAGGCAGGGGCGGTGGGGGGTATGCACCTGCTCCGTTCATGTTGGGGCTGGTCTGAGTGCCCTGGGTAGACACCATGGGCGCATCGGGGCGCACGGGGGGCCGTGAGCGGGTGGCTTGGGGGTGGGGTGAAGGAGAGGCAGCGGCATTGGGGTATGCGCCAGGCGGTTGGGGGTACTGGCCGTTTTCCTGGCCCGGCCAGACCATCTTGTTGGCCGAGTCGGAGCCGCAGGTGAAAGTGAATTGCGTCTTGCTGGCAGTATGCTTGGCGGCTTCCTGCTGCAGAAGGCTCACGTTTTCGTTGCCCGGGGGTGGCGGGGTCGCGTTTGCGTTGGCAATGGCAGTGGAGATGATGCCGCTTTGCTCCGGAGGTCCTAGAAAACAAATCGTTAGCGCACGGACTCTTTTAGTAGTAAAGACGTATCAATTCCCGAGGTGACACCGTACGTTTGCTGTTCCCTTTGGCGTTGGCGAGATTGGTCGAACTAGCCAACACTCGCCTTTCTGACCGTCCCGAGCCAGATCGGCCGAAACGCCCTCTGCCTGCGCCTGAGATGCCGGTTCCAGAACTTGTCGCATGTTGGGGTGTCGAGGGCGCCGAGCCGTAGTAACGCGCGATGCCGTCCCCGTCGTCCATGGCGCCTGCCTCGTGGACTGGTGCGACACCCATGCCAGTCAGATCCGCGGAGAGGCTCGCGTGGTGTGACCCGTTGCTACCCATGTTGGGGATTTTGCGCTTCTTCTTGTTGTTCGTGTTCTCGAATGACTCGTAGCCATCTACCGAAGACGCAGGCGAACCTGGTTTGCGATAGGCACCACTCGCACCCGCTGCCGGCTTGCCTGACGCTTGTCTGCTGTACTGATAGCTCGGAGACGATGGCAGCGGTCCGTTTCGATCGTCCTCTTCCTCCTCGCTCTCGACCTCGGAATGGGTATGGCCACAATGGCAGGCGTGGTGGTCGTTGGCCCCAGTCCTGTGAGGTCTGACGCGCTCATCGGCCGTGTATGGCGGGTAGTTGAAGAGCGGCCCTGTAGAGGGCGGGTTGTGCGGGTACACGATCGTCTCGGCCTGCTCGGGGGACAAGCGGGCGCGTAGAGAACGGGCGGGCAGAGGGCGAATGGGCCGGTCGGGGTACATGGAGGATGATGTGTCGGGCGAGGAGCGCAGCGGCGAAGAGCGGTTCCACTCGTAGCCTGCGAAAGGGAGAAGCGATGTCAGATATCTGGAGAGACCGGGGAGGAGGCTCAGACGAGGCATGTTGGTGCATCATGGTGGCAGAAGGAAATGGTGAAGAGCGTTGCAGGCTGCCCGCAACGACTTCCTTTACTTACCCGCAGTCGCCGCTGCCATGGTGGCAATCCTTCCTCAACGTCCGATCACCAAGACTGTGGGGCGGACGTGACTCCCAGCAGTCCTACTATATCCAAGTCGGTCCCTCTCGTGCTGTATTGCCTATGTTAGCAATCATCTACGCGCAGTCTGTATCGCCGGTGCACAGCCGCCTGGGGAACACAGGGTCTCTCCCAAACAACGTCGAGACGGGGTGTGGCGGTTCTGGAGCTCTACGCACCTTTTTCGAGGGGTTTGTGTGAGAGACGGTACTGGTGGCCAGTTAGCGGAGAACCCCTCTATTGCTCGGCGATGCTAACACTGACAGTATACAGCTGACAACAGCTCCAAAAGAACCAACAGCGACCAGATCCCGGGGGAAAGATTGTGTCTCGAAGGTGGTTGGAACGAGTGATAGCGTTGATGATGCGTCAATGCCGAAGACGTGGGATTGGGGTTCGCCCGCCGCCAAGCCAACACAGGCACTTGGGCTCAACTGATGTGGCCTCGGGCTCGCCAAAGCAGGGTCCGTACTAGTGTATATCGCGATGAATCGAGTGACAAGGTCGCAGAGCAGATGCGACGTGTTCAGCGACGACGACAAGAAACAACAGAGCAGTGTATAGGTGTATGCACAGCTGTCGGAGGATGGCGACGTAGGCTTGCATGCAGGCTGTCTTGCAGTGACCGTGCTGGTGGCGCTAGGGCGAGCAGGGGATTGATCATTGGGGATTGTACCTGGCCGTCCGACAAATGATAGCCATGCCTGCCCTTCTCGCCTCTTTCCTCGGAATTCTTTGCTTTCTAATCGTCTCGAGAATTATCCAAATGCCGTTGCGCTTACGTCTCAACCCCCTTGTGCTGCCCGACTCGGAACACGTCCACGGTATTGGAGTCTGCCGAGACGTCCGCCCGCACTGTCACCGCCCATGCTTCGTAGTGAGGAGCAAAGGCCACACGCACAAGACTTGGTGCACCATGTTCCATCTCTTGCAAATAGGAGTACATCCGATATCTCGTCATCTTCGGCGGCTCAACAGCTGTAATTGCGAAAGGCTCTGTATCAGTAGAGACATGACTTAACTAACATATGTACACATTCATGGATATGTAGCGACGTGATTAGTAGCAAGGATCATCTGTAATCAGGTCAACCCCGAGCGTCGTTGTACAGGTAACTTCCTCTCCGGATATGCGTGTTGCCTCGCACTCAGCCATGATATATCAGACTGCGGCGAGTAGATGCACAGGAAGGATAAGTTATTCAAAGGGATCGGGAACTAAGTCGCTCTCAGTCATATGCTTGGTATCGGATTTGCTCCGGCACCCCGTCGTACCTGCATCCGTGAGCTGACCCCGCAGGCACATGGCAAAGCCCAACACCAACCCAAGTCACGTTCACGCTCCATGACACTCCACAATGTCCATGGATCACAGTCGGGACCCTTGCCCTTGGGTTGCGCTTAGTGATTTTGGCGGAGCGTTCTGCATGGGGGCAAGTCCTATCGATTGCTTGCAGCTGGCTACGTCATCCTTGGTTTCAAAGCTAACAACTCCTAGGCCATCGGAGGGGCGGTTTGGCATGGCATAAAGGGGTTCCGGTACTCACTTCACCACCACGTCGTATGGCCAAATGGTGCTCACAGCTTCGACAGCAATTCTCCGCATGGCGAGCGACGCGTCGGTGCCATTGTGGCCTTGAAAACGCGCGCCCCTGTCCTTGGTGGCAACTTTGGAGTATGGGGTGGCCTCTTTAGCAGCTTCGATTGTGCTGTGAAAGGCATCAGGTGCGGAGGCTCCTCTCTGGCCAACGAGGAACTCAAATTGCGACGAACAACCAGAAACTTACTAATTGATACCTTTGTAGGAAAAAGGAAGATCCGTGGAATGCCATCATCGGAGGCTTCTTCACTGGAGGCGCGCTGGCAGTCCGAGGCGGGGCCAAAGCCATGCGCAATAATGCTATCGGTTGCGCCGTCCTCCTGGCTGTCATCGAAGGTGTCGGCATCGCATTCAGTAGAATGTTGGCTGAGAACACCCGGCTCGAAGCACCACCACCACCTATCTGAAAAATAGCTGTCGCCGCGGACCAGTACAACTGACACCCATTGGATGTCACTTATTCGCGTTGCTGTCACTTGATCTTATCACTGTATTGGCGTTTACGGAAAAGGTCATGAATCGATACCCGGTAACTTTCTTCAAGTCATGATTTAGGAATTGTACTGGAATCAAGCACGGCGTTGTATCTCTGGGCAACAATGGGTCGTCTTTGCGCATGTAAGCCAGGAACATGGCTATGTTTGCCTTCTCAGGAGTGGTATACATTTTCTGATGAAACCACCGCCGCATTGACCCTCCAGCTGTAGCTTAGGTACGTCCTTCAGTCCTGGTCACTGATGCCCTTTGCAGGTTCTCAAGTCAGCTTTGCTTTGCTTCGCTGTTCACGCAAATGCTCACTGGTGACGCACGAAGACAGGCCTGTTGATGGCTAGCAAGATAAGCTGAGATAGCTAACATTCGCTCGGGACCAACCGCATCATCTTTACCAACATTGCAGCTCTACGCTACGACCAGAAGAGGAAGTGTACGAAGATGAGGTCAGTGCACACATACAATGTGAGACCGCTTTTTGCTTTTGAGCCACGTGCAGCGCTGGGTGGAAAGCTTGACACTCCAAAAGAAAGGACGTTTCTATGCAATCAGCGGTAAGTCAATAGTCCGCAGTCTGTTCTTGTCGCAGTGTCCAATCGCACATTTCGTCCTGCAACGCGCGGCAGGTCCCTGTAACCATAACGGCCGGTAACAAAAAGTGTCCGCTTTGTAGCCTGTATTGTAATTGGTGGTTGTACTGTTGGGTCGTACTGGCGAACCGGGCCTCAGTACCATGGTCGCACTGATGCGTACAATTTCCTAGGCGAGAAGGTCATCACACCGGTACTTATATCGTCGCTCCATCCGCAGCCTTGCGAGCTGGTGTTGTGGCGCTTCGTCCTCTTTCACTCGTTCTTCCCACTCCAGCGCAATCGCGCGTTCCTCTCGCTCACCGCGACTGCCCTGGTGGTCAGCTTCCCTCACCTCCCTCGTCCCTGCCTACAACACTCGGGACCCCGCTTACGTTCCACTCTTTTGCTTGACGCATCCTCTCACTAGCTTGCCTGGGTACCTGATACTCACCTTCTCGTTTCCAAGGTTGATACCGCCTTTTCCTTGCCTTGGCGACCCTCAACCACAGGGTATAGTTTCGACTGCCGCATTACAATCTTTCCCTTTCCCTACTCACCCCCACGGATTACCGAGGCGAATACGCCTTCAACTTCGCCCAAGATGATACTCGGCTATGACGGGCCTTGCTACCACATATCAGAGGCATGCCCAAAAGAGTATGCTTACTGGGGCTATCAACCTTCCTTGGCCACCAACATCGCCTTCGCTGCGCTGTTCGGTATCTCGACTATCGCCTACCTTGTGCAGGGCATCATGGGAAAGAGATGGCTTGGCTTCACTGTCGCAATGGGAACGGGTTGCGCGATTGAAGTCGTCGGTTACATTGGGCGCATCCTAGCACATGCAGATCAGTTCGCTGAGGTACGTCTGTGGATTATATTCCTCGATCCCAGAACTGACACACCGCAGAACCCTTTCCTCATCCAGATCATTTGCCTGACCATCGCACCTGCCTTCCTCGCTGCGGGCATCTACCTCTGCCTCTCGCGCATCGTCACCACTGTCGGCCCACAACACTCACGAATCAAGCCCCTCTCATACCCCAAGATCTTCATCCCCTGCGACTTCATCTCACTTGTGCTTCAGGCCGCTGGCGGAGGTATGGCTAGCGTCGCGACACACAACGGCGAGGACCCGGAGAAGGGCAACCACATCATGGTCGCCGGTCTAGCCTTCCAAGTCGCAACCATGCTCCTCTTCATTCTGCTGGCCCTTGACTTTGCATGGCGCACATACCAAGGAAGAACATCTCTAGGCCAGATATCTCCGGATCAACAGCCAGCTATCATCCGCCGTTCATGGCCATTCAAAGCTTTCCTTGTGGCTTTGTCGCTGTCTACCCTCTGCATCTTCACAAGGTGCGTTTTTCGCGTTGCGGAATTGAGTGAGGGCTGGGAGGGCCACATTGCCAACACCCAAAAGTACTTCATCGGATTGGAGGGCGGTGTGATCATTGCGGCAGTCCTGCTCTTGAACTTGTGCCATCCGACTCACTGCTTCAAGGATGTAGATGACGTACGAGGAGTGCAGTTGCAACGTCTTCCTGACGGAAGCACTACGGAGTTTCCAGGACTTAACCAACTCAGCGGTATGCAGCAAGCACAGAAGTGGATGTGAGGTCTCTGCGGAGGTACCATTCGACCTCCTCGGATGGTGTTATGAGCAAGGCCTAGTGCCAAGTGGGCTCTGATTCCCTTCTTGTACGATATATTTAACCCCATGAATCTGTAATTGATTTCACTTTCGGATCAACACGATCAAGCTCGCACAATTTATATTATCGCCATGTGAAGGGAAGCAGTGCCACACGACATTCGTTCATGCACTCACACGAGCAAAGACTTCGGCGTTCTGAGTTGGCCTTTAGCTTCGTGTAGGTCTTCAGAGATCTGTGTGTATATGCGGTGAGGAAATGGCAGATATGCACGATAGCTTCTACATACGTTTTGCCCTAGGTTTCATCAAAGCGTGTTCCTATATGCCTGACTATAGAGATCACCTACTGGTATTCCAAGGTCCCAGGAGAAAACACAACTACTCCTGACTGCTCTAGTTTTAATTTGCTATCTATGAAGATGCTCTCGCGCACGTAAATCTGTAGTACAGTGTGTGGGTCTTTGGCTGTTGCGCGCAGTATGCATATGCGTTGAGGTATCCAGGTTTTCAAAAATACCAGATGGCTTACAACCTACGTCGCTCCTAGGATTTCACAAGTTGAACGAAGATTTCGGTTCTGGTGGCTTCATCGACTCGTTTGCGCTCCGTTTGACGTACGTACGGGCACCTGTGGACCTTCAGAGAACCCAGCCTCTCTCACTCTTGCGACTATCGGAGGGCCTGGTCCACCTCGTCACACTGCGCTCGGGCTCTACTACCTGCCTACCTTTACCTTGGGGAATACCACGCGAGCGGTCGGCCGCTAGCAGAAGGCTCCCAGCACTTCCCTATATAATATCTCCACCTGTCTGCTCCAACACTCCTCCACACTCTCCACTCTGCAAACATTTGGGTCACCTGGTAACTGACAACAGTACTTTCCTTGCATAACCAGTCCCCTTGCTTGTCGCCTCCAGCCTTCGGCACTCTTCCATTGCTGTGAGCATTGTCATCATAAGCCTTTGGTAACCGACAACACCCCACCACTCAACATGAACCAAGCAGAAGATGTCGAAGTTGTCCTCGGTCATGAGCGTCGCTACAAGTTCCACTCGGGTACTTTGGCGCGTAACTCAACCCTCCTCGCCGACTTATTGACCGAGTGTAACGCCGTCAAGTTGAACACTCGCGCCAGGAACGCAGGTATCAAGACGCGCTGGATGATCGAACTCAAGGACCTGCCTTCCGAGCAACATCCTGCCGGTCGTCTTGATCTCGTGGTATGAAACTCTAACCCCTGTTCTATCCTCAAGTTACCGATAACAGTCACTAACAACAATGTCTTCAGGAACTCACACCAACTGCCGAGCGAGCCGACGGTCGCAGCGGCCTAATCGTCAACGAAAATGGACGTATCCCCCAAGCCGTTAAGACCTTCCAGCACTATGAAAGCATCTTTTATGCCTTCTACAACAAAGAGCTCAAGATTGCTGACACCGACATGTCCGCCGCCCTTCATGATTGCTACCAGCTTCTCAAGATCGCCGACTACCTAGGCTGCACCATACTTATCTCCAAGCCCATCGAGATCGCCCTCCTGAAACATGGCCAGGATCTCTTCCGCGCCATCCAGAAGAAGCCGCACGCCTGGATCGAGATGTCGTATCGAATCCGCAGCGAACTCATCTTCCGCGAATGTATCGTTCATCTAGTCGGCAACTGGAGGGTCTTGAAGGCTTCACGCAGCACCCTGGATTACCTGCGCGAAGTCCCTGGTCTGCGCGGCTTGCTCGAGAAGTACCACCGCGCAATGCTCGGCCAGTGCAAGGCCGTCGAGTTAGCTGTCATGTCCCTCTACCCCGGCACCATGCGCCTCCCCGTCGAAGACCTCCCCATCAAGCGCGAAGCCTACGCCAAAGACATCCTCGTCTGGATAGCACTCACCTTCTTCCGCCACTGGATCGGCCAGCGCCTCATCATGGACAAAGGCCGCCACGCTTCCGACTGCGGTTTCGAACTCTACAAGGCGATCGGCACAGCAGGAGATTCCTACATGGACAAGTCCGTCATCAACCAGTTCCACACCAAATTTCCCATGACGAAGAAAGCCATGAACGTCCTGGAGAACCATCTGCTCGAGATCAAGGAGTGTATGAAGACCGTCGTCGACCAGCACAAGATCCTCAAGTCAACCTGCCAGTTGGATATTCATCGCTTCCCCGTTGAGTATCTGACTTGCACTGAGTTCGACAAGGGCGATTACCCGTGGGACAAGGACAGCGAGGGCCCTAGGGTGCTTCCGGCGAAGAGGGCGTACAAGCCTGGCGGCAATGACATTGCTCGCAAGAACTTGGATACCGCGAGAATGCATCAGGAGAGGAGTATGAGTATGGAGGGTGAGGAGGAGGAAGATTCGGTCGAGTTTGAGAGTGATGATGATGAGGAGGATACCAGGGGTAAGCGGGCTAAGATTGATTAAGTTTTGGATCAAGGTATCCGCCAGGCGGTACTTTTGGGTTGGTTTTGAGCTTCATAGGATGCCGTGAGGACCTCTTGGGCGTTGTGTGATTTTTCAAAAGTGAGGGTTAGGTAGGTATGTTGGCGTCAAACGGATCTATGGCTGGACGGAAATGCGGTATTGGGTTGCTTGTAGTCGGCAAAAGGGTCTATGAGAGCATGGAAATTTCTTGATAATGGCTCGACTACCTCCACGGTTAGACAAAAAATGATGATTCTTGATTGTATTCTTATGGTGCAATGAAGTGAAAGGGAATATTCTGACTTGATATCTCCTTGAATCCGAGTGAAAGCTTCATTCCCGTTATCTCCTCCATCTCCCCTGATATCCTCTACTCGTCATCGAAGCCCGTCGGTCTCGGCCGTTGTCCCTTTGGTACTATAACAAATCAGTAAACCGTCTTCTTTCTCCATGTTTCCCTCTCCTCGGTCCAACAATTGTCTGAGCAACCATGATTCGCCATCCGCCACGTACCTGGGTATGTCATAGGGATCTTGGGGATCTGCTCCTCGCCCATATATCTCCGGATCGGGGGAACGGTAACGACCATTATGGGACCAGCGCATCCGACCATGATGGAGTAGAAGTATGCCGGCTTGTTGATAGAGGCCCATTTCATGTAGCGTATCGGCTGCTGGAAGAAGCGCGGGGAGGGGGGAATGCCGGACATGGTCGCTGTATTGCTGCTGGTATGTGAGCGCGCGTTTCGGAGTCGCAAGGCAAGTATGCGCGTACGTAGACTATCCCTTGTTGTGCGTCGGTAGATCCGGTAATCAGCAGGCTCAATGCCTCAGTCTGGTGTCGCAATCGCAAGTTGTCGGCGCGGGTCTGGTGTTCGTGAGGTCGCAGCCCGTAGCTCACTCACCTCCGCACTCCAATCGGCGTGCAGCGATTTTCCGGGACCGATGGGCTTGGCAAAAGCATACGTATCTCCGTTACAGCTCTCCACACGCCGGCGCATCTCGACAAGTCCACTCTTCGATCAACCACAAGATGAGGTGGTTAGTTTCTTTTACCGTCGCCTTCGTTTGGTCGGTGGTGGTGCAGGCCAAGAGTTTCACTGGCAACCGCTTGCTGGTTGTGTTGGAGGAGCAGGTTGAGAGGGAGAAGTACAGCGTGTTCCTGGAAGACTTGACGTGTAAGTTATGAGTTAGTTTAATCTTGTCCGGAGATGTCGTAGTGTCTTCAATTCGCGCAAGTTGCGATGCAAATACGAGGCATTGGCAAAGCTCCGTAGCCATCGAACTTGCAACTTGGCCTTGCGCAGCAGATGACGCTGAATCGAATCCGCTGATAGTGAGCCAATGCTGACACGACTGTATAGCCCGGGGATATACCACATCTGTCGAATCACCAAAAGAGAGCAAGCTCTCATTACTGAAGCACGGCGAACGAGCATACGACCATGTCCTCCTCCTCCCCAGCAAGTCGAAAGGCCTCGGCCCTGCTCTCACAGCGAACAATCTCCTCGAGTTCATGAAGAAGGATGGAAACATTCTGGTTGCCCTCTCGAGCGAATACGCTATCCCTACCGCCGTCCAGGCCATGCTTCTCGAAGTCGATATCAACATCCCAGCGGACAAGGGCGCATTGGTCGTCGACCACTTCAACTACGATGCGTCATCGGCAAAGGAAGAGCACGACGTACTGCTCCTGCCGTTCCCCAAGTCGCTCAGGCCAGATGTCAAGAACTACTTCGCTGGCGAGGGATACATTGCCGTGCCACGCGCTGTCGGCCAGGCTCTTGGAAACGAATCGCCTCTTACCTCGCCTATCCTCCGCGCTCCCAGCACCGCCTACAGCTACAACCCCAAGGACGAAGCTGACGGTGTTGAGGACCCCTTCGCGGTTGGTGAGCAGCTGAACGTCGTCTCTGCGATGCAGGCGAACAACGCGGCGCGTCTGGCAGTTGTCGGCTCAGCCGAGATGCTCCAGAACAAGTGGTTCGCTGAGAAGGCCAAGCTAGGCGACAAGGCTATCACGACTGGCAACCGCGAGTTCGCGCAGAAGCTTTCTGAGTGGACCTTCAAGGAGACGGGTGTGCTGAAAATTGGCAAGCTCCTCCACTACCAGGACGAGGGTGCCAGCAAGAAGTTGAACACCAGCACTGCCATTCCTGAGAACAACCCTGGCATCTACCGTATCAAGACCGACGTCGTAAGTTTATGTTGAATCGCGTTTACGACCAAGGTGCTAACAGACACAGCACTTCCAAGTCGAGATCTCCGAATACACGAACGATCACCTCGCTCCCTTCGTCCCCTCGCCCAAGGATAACATCCAGCTTGAGTTCAGCATGCTCTCGCCCTTCCAACGCCTGAACCTCTCTCCCATCGCACAGACCGCGAACGCAACCATCTTCGGCGTCGCGTTCAGAACACCCGATCAACACGGCATTTTCAACTTCCGCGTCAACTACCGCCGCCCATTTGTCACCAACATCGACGAGAAGAGGCAGGTCACCGTCAGGCACTTTGCGCACGACGAGTACCCGAGGAGTTTTGAGATCAGCGGTGCGTGGGTCTGGATTGGCGGTATCTGGGTCACCGTTTTGGGCTGGTTGGCATTTGTGGCCGTTTGGCTGTACAGTGCGCCCAGCGAGAAGAGCACAAAGAAGACGCAGTAGATGGACTACAAGCTTTTGGATGGGAATTTGGACCGGTTATGTGTGTGTAAACAAAATACTCCGTCGGCGATGCGCGGTATGTATATTATGGATAAAGGGCAAGAATGACCCAAAATTTCGTTGCGAATGCAATACCAAAGAATACCACAGTCTGCTTCCAGTTCCCTTTTCTCGTTCTCCCTAGTATCCTCGAAAGCTTTGACTGTCTGTTCCACGCCGCCCTTTCCTCAAAGCTTACTCTGTTCCTCCAAGACCCGCGGATGCGCTACCTTGCCAGGCTTCAACTTACTCCAATCCTTCTCATACCCCTCTTCCACGTCCGGATACGGTCCCAAAGGCGTGATACTAAGAGGGTTGATATCACCATGACTCTTCGTATACTGTGCGCGCAATCAAGGTCAGCCATCACAGCACCCTGCATGAACCCGAGCAATTCCACTTACATTCTCCTTGATATGCTTGAAATCCGTACTCTCCTTGAACCCCTCGACATTGTGATACAGGTTCTTCAGCCAATTGTTCAAAACAGGGTAGTCATGCCGTATCGAACCCAGATTCGTCTTGAAATGCTGCGAGTATACCGTGTCGAAACGGACGATCGTCGGGTACGCCAGGAGATCCAACTCAGTCAGTCTGTCGCCCAGGATATACGGACCGTCATTCTTGTGCACAAGTTCTTCCAGTCGATTCAGCGCAGCAAAGAGCGGAACAACACCCTTCTCGTAGCCTTCTTGAGTCGGCGCGAAGCCCGCCTTGTACACCCCCGCGCAAATCAGCGACTGCAACCACGGACTAATCTCATCAATCCTCTGCCTCAATTCCTCCGGATAGAAATTAATGCCCACAAGCTTTCCCTCGCTCTCCAACACAGAATCAAAAGCTCTTGGTAACCACTTCAACATCTCAGCACTCTCATTATTCACTATGCGACCGCCTTTCTTGTCCCAGAGAAGGGGCACGCTGTATTTCCCCTTGTAGGCCGGGTCGTCGCGGAAGTAGATCTGGTGCATGAATTGGCTGTTGAAGAGGTGGTCAGGTGTTGCGTTGGGGTAGCTGGCATCGAAACGCCAGCCGGGTTCGCCCTTTGGGTAGGGGCGGACGATAGAGGTGGGAAGGTAGGATTGGAGGTGGTTGAGATGACGGACTAGGTTGGGGCGATGGGCGAAGGGGCAGAAGAGGCCTAGGTAATACGTTGGTGTGAGTGTTGCTTTAGTATGGTGATATGGTTCTGTGTGGGCTTACCGATGTAAAGGTGGTATCTGTCTTTTTCGGGTGGGAAGTCACCTCCTTCTTGTATGATGCCGTGCCAGCCATCGTCGGTGCCGTACTTGTGGATTTCTTGGGTTGACATTTCGTGTTGATGGGATGGATGGATGAGATAGAGGATAGAAGAAATCAAGAGAAAGTGGTTCTATTAGAAGAATCTGTAGCTATCTGTTCATGTATCGTTCGTTATGCTGACTGTTGTGTACAGTGAAGCTGAAGCTCAGCTAGATTGCTCATAGTGGGGTATCTGAACGCGTCCTCGTAAGCTTATGCAGGGACTGCGGAACTGATTCCGAGATCGAGCCATTTTCGGAACTCAGGTGCAGCATTTCAACTCTTCACAAGTTACACCACAAGGCACACCGCACGTCTCTGCACTGGTTCGCGCAGTTTGCGTTGCGCTTGTGACGCCCGGTGCTGCCTCCCTGCCTGCACATTCTATATCGTTGAGCCTATTTGGAGAAGCAGCCAGCTCAGGTTGAAGTGTTGCCGAATGAATGCCATACGCATGCAGACATTCCGTGAAGATCTTGGCTTTGCTCATGAAGCTCGCGATATCAGGGTCACTGACCACGACATGTGCTGATGCGACAGCTTTCTTCTGATCCAGACGCCAGACGTGCAGCTCGTGCACACTAAGCACACCAGGTATAGCCTCCAAATCGTGCTTGACGTCCTCAATCTTGACGCCTAGGGGTGCAGACTGAAGCAGAATCTTTCCGCTACGCTTCGTGAGGGGAATTGCAGTGAGAAGTATCATAATGGCGATCCACATACTAACTGCTGGGTCGGCATAATAACGATTAGACGACTTGACGAACCATATGATAACGGCGGAGATGATCACACCGATGTTGTTGATCGCGTCGCCGATGACGTGGATGAGAACCCCGAGTATACCCAGATCCATGCCGTGCTTCTTTGGTTTGGCGGATATGTGCAGGTGATTGGCATGTATGGGTGTAAGTGACATGCTCTCTTCGTCGCCGTTGCTACCAGGGCCATGGTCGTGATCATGCTCGTGTAGGAATAAAGCACTGATAATGTTGAGAGCTAGGCCGACACAGCCCACGATCAGGACTAGCTTGGGGTTCTCGACGCGCTCGATGCGGATGAAGCGTTCGATGGATTGTAGGGTGATGCTGACGCCTAGGGCGAGAAGGAAAGAGCCGTTGAAGAAGGCGCCGAGGAGTGAGGCCCGCGCCCAACCGAAGGAGAGATCTGGAGGTGAGGTCTTGCGCTCTGTCACCTGCACAGCTACCAAGGCCACTATGAAGCCGATGAGATCGTTGAGCTAGACAGAACGTCAGTGACTTGGAGCAAGGAAGGTACGATGCAGGTATGTGGGAGATTGCGGGACGCACATAGTGGAAGGCATCAGCCACCAGAGCAAGTGATGATGTATAGAAGCCTACGGAGATTTCGGCCGCGAAGAAGCAGAAAGATATGGCTATCACGGCTCTGAGGCGGGTCTTTCGACTAACTTGGAAGCGGCCATGCTTTTGCCCATGCGCATGATGGCCTGGCTCGTAGTGGTTGTGGCTGTGGGCCATGGTGTAGAGGAAATGTTGATTTTAGGTGATAAGAAAGGGTTGAAGAAGAGCTCATGGTATTGAGGGAGAATAGAAAGTAGCAAACGAGGATGCAGACCGAGTACCTGCCTGGCTTTATGGACGTTTGTACCATGTTCAGGAAAAAGGTGTGAAACACAGGGACCTAGTGACGGTGCGAAATTCGAATCAAGAAATGACAACGGTTAGATACCTAGTTGAACTTCGAAGACATACTACCTGTACTATCAGAACCCTCCAAGTTCATGTAGTACTTGTACGTACGGGTTAGTCACAGACTACTAGATTGCGACTGCCTGCAGATTGCGATAGCCATGTAGTCACTGACGGTAAGGACGGGAGCCATCGCGTAGGTGTGGTTCTCGATCTGTCATCGCGATATGTTATCATGTAGTTCTGCCAAACGGTATGTCATTACCCAGCTCCCGAGGTCGCGTCCAGGGATAAAACGTGAAGCGTGTGGAAAGCTGCCGCGCGTCACAATGTGTAGCCCAGTAATTTGCTACCGCGCGATGGAAGTGTTAAGTATCCGACAGCTGCTCTTGGGGACGTGACTCGCCACAATTTCAGAGCGGCAGTAGATTGTGCCTAAGTGGTAGCGTGAAAGATAGATTCACATGATAGCGCGGAGGACCTAACCTGATGTCGCTTAACGCCGGAAGTGCCAACACCGCCTTTCAACCAAACGGCCTGGACCCTCCCCGCCGTCGCAAATAATCTCGCAGAACCACCAGCCTTCACACAAATAAATCCTCGGACTTTGATCGCTCTCGACATATATCTCCACTCACACTCAGCGACTGACTATCAGCAAACTACAAGATGGGTAACGGAGCCAAGTAAGCCACTTTACATATATCCAGTAGCCCTGGAACGCTCGCTAACATTTTTCGAAGAGCGCAGCAGAAACGCGACAGGAAGGGTTAGCATCCCACCATGGGAGCCGCCTGTGAGACAGACACTAACTTCGTACTCGATATCTACAGGCGATGCCGGTCCCAAGGAAGCAAAGAGCCAACTGAAAGCCGTACGTAACCCCGCTCCCTCGCGCGATCTTGCAACGTCGCGGTCCCGCATCCATATCACAGTTACAAGTCGCACTGCTAACACAATGCCAGAACGCCGCCGCCCAGACCATCAAGTGCAAAACCTGCTTCCAAACGTTCCAGGGCACCACGAGCCGCAAGATGCTTACCGATCACGCAACCAACAAGCACAGCAAGGAGTTCGACGTCTGCTTCAACGCCGACGAGGGTGTTGTGAAATAAGCGGTCACACTTCCGAGCGAGTACATGAAGACAACCGACGAGACGACAAAGTTTGCTATTTACACGAGCATGAGATACCACGGGCGGGGAGTGAGGAGTTGAAAGGGGACGGCCATGTATGGCGATTTGACGAGGCATGATACACAGGCGTAGGGATCGATATATCACGAATCAGACTATTGGCTACCAAACGCCTTCTTTCTCATACTACTACAGAAGGGCGGCCCTCTCTTTGATTGACTGATGGTAGTGATTTAGTGTTGAGGAACCTAAGACTGATGTCGTTCCAGGGGCACAGATATAGGTTGTTGGACCAGCGTAAGCGGAAGACGACGCGTGTAACAAGTACCCGGCCGGGATACTGAGTATCTATAGCAGACACGTGCTGTTGGCCGATTCGACAAGGACTTGGGAAATGGATGGACGCGTTGCCACTCACTCCTGTGGAACCACCTGTCGATGCATTCCAAAAGACAGATTTCCCCTGATTCGAGCAAGTCAACTTGAAGATGGCACCTAAGCGTAGACTATGGTGCGACTCCATTCTGGTATTGCAACACTTCACTTCAACATCGTTATCCCCGTGTTCGTGTATGCTAAGCGCGCATATCTCGCGTCTTACTTGATTAGGTGATCCGCACAGTAGAGTCGAACTTGCAGTCCTGGTGTGCAGCGCGCATACCTATACAAGAAAACCCCGTCCCGAAAACAGACAAACCGAGGTGCAACGTACAACAGTAATGAGTCCAGTGTTCCTACATTGCCAATCACCATCATCCCTAGTTCCCGTCCCAGGCCTGGCCAAGTCTAGCCCGCGGTGCAAACCCCACTTCCACCCCACCAACGTACTTCATCACCACGCAGGGTTTTGATTTCGCCACAACAGATGACTTTTTGATCTTTCCCCGATCTTGGCCTTCACTTTTATGGACTGCGCCGTGAAATTTGGGATATTAAGTTTATGCTTTTCATTTTCTCCATCAATTCCCTATCACAACCGTCTCCTTAGCTCAATTGGGAGAGCGCCAGACTGAAGTCTCAGTCACTAAATCTGGAGGTATCGTGTTCGATCCACGAAGGGGACAACGTGCTCGAGCTTGCTCGGGATTCTTCGAACCATTGTTTTTGCGGATGTAGGTAACATGGCGGGTGCGCCTGGCATGTATCCTTTTTGCTGGTGTTGGGGGTTTGTGAGAACACCAGGAGTACTCTGACGAGTACTATCACTTTTGCGCATAGTACGAGGTGCACCTAACAGACGTCATAGGCTTCTAGACTGTAGGTTTTGACCAAGCGCACTGGAAGGCTGGCCATAAAGTGCTTTTGTTTTGAGCACCTGTATGTCATAAGGGTGATACTAGTCATTGCACCAAGATCTTGATCCTTCCTCTCTTCTTGGACAGCTTTTTTGCGCACTTCGCGTGCTAAACTCCCAGCCCTCCTTGTAGAAACCGAAAGCACCGTATTGTCGCCCGGGAAATACGCTCTGTCACAACCCTCATATCGCCAACCTGTTGTTGTCCGTCCATCCCACCCATACGCCACCAATCTCTCTCGCAATGTCCTCCGCCGTCCTCCCATTCGCATCCCTCAGACTCCTGATATCAATCTTGTCTTCTGTGAGCCCCCTCATGATACCCATAGCCTCAGCCTCCTGGAAGACCTGCGTTGGGAAGTCCAGCAGCGGGTAGTTACTCGCCAGCAGCAGTAACAACCACGCGACCTCTCTGCTCTGCGCATACACTGCCGCGTGTAGCCCCGACTGCATATCCCCAATCGGATCCTGGTATCTCAACATCCTATCAATGCCCACCTCCTTCTCAGGATGATCCGTAGTGCTCATTTCGACATCGCCCTCGTCGTCCTCGCTGTCGTCGTCCTCGTTCAGCAGTAGCTCGACTACAGCTTTGTAATCGCCTTCGCGACAGAACTCGAGGAAGGCGCGCGCTTTCCTGTCTTCCGGGTACGCTTTCAGGTATGATTCTTCGGTGAGAAGCGGTAGGATGTCGAGGTTCTCTTGAATTCCGCCTTCGTTGTTGAGTCTGCAGAGGACCTTTTGTTGGCCGTCGCCTGTGCTGGAGATTTCTTTGCCGCAGTGGGGACACGAGGTTATTTCGTAGGCGGAGAGGAGACAGTCCCTGCACGTGGTGTGTTAGCGATAGTATGCGATTGCGCGGAAGGAGCTTTGCGTACCAGTGGAAGTGGCATCCGCAGGTTAGCTGGACGTCATCGGGATATGTTTCTGGTGCGGCCGCGGGTCCTTTGCCGGATGACGATGCGCCGCCCTCGTACTCTTCGTCCTCGTCGCGCTCGACTTCTACCTCCAGGGGCTTGTCGCAGATGACACAGGTAGACATTTTGGTGCTTTTGCTATGTGCTTCAAAGATGTGAAGGTGTTGGTGTTATGGGCGGGGCTATAGCGGGGGCTGTACTTTTTTTGTCGCTAAAACGGGAGGGCGTTCACGCGTCACGCGTCAGAGTTTACACGGACGTCATCGACCTCGCGACAGCGTCAATGACTTGGAAGGGTCTTGCTCCTTATGAATCTATTATCTCCTTGTATTAATTGGGTATTAATGTCCCTATCATCGCAACCTTTGATAGCTCGGGTTCGTCCACATTAAAGGGACGCGTGCGAGCGCGATCCTTTCCCGCCCTGTTCCCCTCGGCCTGCCTTCACCCACACGACTTCTAATGGCGTCTCTCACAACCCTTAGACCATTGCTGAACCGTGTGCCGATCTCGTGAGCTGTCGAGTTCGCTGTCGCTGAGCTGTGATCGGTTCGGGATAATCGCTGCATAGTACGGTTGGGCGGCAAATCTTCGTCCTGTCCATAATCCTGTTCTGCGAAAGCTATTGACCTCTCCTGGTTCTTCGTCTTCAATTGCGTGAAATAGCTATCGTAAAGCTGACCCCAATCTACTAGGATGACCCCTTCTTCCATGTTCCAGTATCGGATTGACTTGTTCGATACCCCAAGGGTCCAGTGTTGTCCGACACTCATCGTCACATTGCATCTGGATCGCGACGCGGAGAAAATTCGGGCCCATCCGTAACAGCCTCTGCGGTCTTCATCTCGCCACACGCTTGAGATTGGTGCTTCTTGTTCGACGGAGAATACGGCGACAGTTGGATCCTCCACCAGGAATCGATTGAATTGCAACCGGAAGGTATGATTCCGGCAGCCAAGATTGGAATTGATTATCGTGTGCGGTAGATGGGCTACTGGGCCTCGATGTGACATGGCCGGTCTTGAAGTGCAGGTATTCGGATTCCGTGGTGAGCTCAAATCGGTGGCGCGTCGACACATATTGCAGGAATGATCTGAGGACTCGTGGTTGGTCTTATTGGAGCTGAACATGTTTAAAAGCGGAAGGCAGAGCATACTGAAAGAAAATGCGAAAGTGCGTAGAATAGGCAGTGTTGACGGGAAATGAACAGCATGCCAACACGTTCAAGGTGGTGCAAACAATGCCATGCAGGCTTTGCTTGTTTCCGTGGGCGATCAAGTCCTCTTCCAAATACCAATTCCAGCACCCTGTTTCTGTCGCCGTAGCCAGGTACGTGCCGGACTACTCCTCACCGTACCATGGTAATGTCGTTGCGTGGCCCTTTTCATCGGTCGCGCTCCGCAGACTAAGGCAGGGAGGGGGACTCACCAGGCCGGCAAGTGAGGAAAAACAGCATGAGCATTTGCTTTTTTGGAATACCAGAGCTAGCGCACGCCCGTTCTCTCGAAGGAGCACAAGCTCCGTCTCACCGTCATCTCGCCAGCGAATGCTTGCTGCGGAGGAGAAAAAGCACTGCGATTATCTATGGAACAACAATGTACATATGCATGGCGTACGAGCGAATTGTAGAAATTGGTCGCTCGTAAACTCCACAAAACAACGTACGACACCAAGACCTTACACACCACTTCAGTCATCCTTCAACGTGCTTGGCAGAACTGGCTGCCTTGTTGACCGCCATGGGCAACTTCAGAATGCCATGCTTGGGCCAACGTCGTAGGCGCCATTGCCATATCAAATCTCCGGCGCCTACGACATCCTCAACAAACCAATTCCAACTGCCGTTTACTTTTGACATATCGTAGAAGCATCGAAGCTTCCACGGGCTGTGCGATTGTGGCCTGTGAATCAGTGTAATTACCGTCGAGCATTCGCAATGTGGCGTTTTTGGTGACGGAATGAGACGGACTTGACTTCCTGAACGCTAGGGAGTTGCGCATCGAATGCAAGTTGGTTTGCGATGCCTAAATGACCACGAAGTTAGCATGACAATACTTCGATGTTGCTGAACCACCCAGGTAGGCGTTTTACTTACCGTTCCATTCCTCATCTGCCCTCCTGTCTTCCTCAGCCATCTCTTCGATGCTCTGAATGCTCCTCATCTGGGGCTGCTGCCTCTTCTCCAACTCCATCCTCGCAGTCATCTGCTCCATTATGGCTTGCTCGGCGTCTAGTCGTTGTATGCTATCTTTGTTCCGCAGTAGAAGACGGTGTGACGCTGACTTCCAGATCGCTCTCGAATCTCCGATGCGTTGCTGAAGAGGCCTTTCCCAATCTTGTTCCCAGCCCCGCGCTGGCTCCTTACCTGTTGCAGGTAAAGCGGTTTGAGAATGGAATGCTGGTGCGTGGAGAACTCGGGCATTGGCAGTCGGTTTGGGTTGGATGGGTACGGCGGTTGATCTTCCTAATCCAGAAGGAGAGTATGGCTTCTGGACTTGATGCTTTCGGACGTTGAGGGGTCGGATCGTTACGTCGACCGCAGAATCGTATCTGTTCGAGGGAGGTGGAGGCAGTTCTCTCCTGAGTGTTCGTTGCAGCTCAAATGACTCTTGCCATGAGAGCACGGATCGTGGGCCTTCTAGTAGGCCTGGCACAGTTGCGTTTTGTTTCTGGGGCTCGCCAACAGCTCGCTTGGTCACCCTTCCAGCAAACATCGGTGTTTGCGAACCCAGTCGCCCTCCCACAAGTGAGTTCACACTCGGGTTTACAAGCCGAATAGTCTCGTCTGTCGGAGTTTCTTGCGGTGTAGCCTTCCGAAGGCTTCCTGCTGAAGGTAACGCCCATTTAGTTTGTTCATCCCATGCTTTGGTGCCGCCGTTGTGTACCTTTTTCGAAGGCTGCTCTCTTCGACCGATGAGCCCTTTGCGTGGCGTGTGCCGGACATCGGGGCGACGTACAGGCGACGATGCCGTCTTACCCATGTCCACATAGCTAGCGGATTTGTACTTGCGGTGCGGATGGTGATTTCGTAGACAACTGCCAAGCTTCCTAGCCCAGCGCCGGAGACGAGATTCGCGCTTGTGGACGGTCATGATCGTAATATCAAAGTCAGTGTAGTTGTTTCCGGCGTTTTGGGGTGAATTATTGCGTTAAAATTGTATAACGTGGCTGCTTGTGAGAACATTCGTGGAGATGCTCTCGCGACCAGATAAACCGTCACAATGTTATCCAACGTTCTCATAGCAACGTTGTTCTACTCCACTCTTCAAGCGGGGCCGATGATGATGTTCCTGCCCTGCTTATCCATCCGGGTCCCTGAGTAACGCTGACGCCTGTTGCGGATGCCCGTTGGGTGGCTGCTTGGGAAGGGACAGCAGTTCCATGTTTCCAGTCATCTAGCCGACCAACGCACCCAACCGTTTACCGTTTGGCCGAATAGATACCTAGGGAATATCCTTGGATTCTCGAGCCACGAAGTGTTTGCGCTGGTAGTTGTGGTCGCGCAGTCGGTTCGTCGCTCCGCTGTTCAGTCTCGAGTGAACCTATCTGGTATACAAGCTTCCACTAGCCTGTCCAGGAGACTCCATAGGCCCTGGGCTAGTCTGCACGCTTCCCAGATAGCACCACCGACAACTAGGACAGACAACGCGGTGGCCACGATGACAACGCCTACCACAATGAAGCCTAGCACGTGCGTAACCGACAGAAGAGGCTCTGTGATCCGCCATTCCACTTTCTTCTTTCCTACTCGTGCGAAGTAGAACGCCAGGAAGCCATATCGGCGCACCTGTATATCACGATCGAGACGTCCCACATATTCCAACCACTCTGCAGCGGTCATTGTGACCTCTTCCCCTCCTCCAACAGAAACACTGATCTTCTGCTCGAACCTCGCGATGCGATTGCACAGTCCTCCGAAAGCCAGCTTGGCAAGCAAAGCTTGGTCACTGATGCATGCTATGCGCAGCTTTTGCTTGTCACTAAAAAGTGGCGTGATGGTTCGCAAGACTGTTTCGATGGGGGAGTGTCCAAGGCTGCACCAGAAGCAGCACCGAGAGAAGTGAACTTGCTCTTCGTGGAAGCATTTCTGTACTAGTACCTCTTTGGCGCAGCTGTAGAGTTGACGAGAAGTGGGGCGCGCGCTGAACCAGAGTTCTGATGGGGATAGGTAACTGCAGATGTTTAGGACGAGTTCGTTTGGCAGGCTATCCATCGAGGCTGTCGGCGGAGGTGAAGTTCTGGAAGGTTTGGAAGACCGCAGAGAGACGCGCTGCGTTGCATTGCGTCCTGAAAGTCCAGTCTCGCCTCCAGTGCAGTATAGTAACATCCTCGTGAAGCGCGTAGCGAGTGACAGAGCGGGATCCGACGATAGGAACCTTGCGGCATTAATACCCATCATTGTGTTGAGTGTCGATATTGCGGGATGGTCGTATGAGCTTAGCTTGCTGTACCTTGTCTTTACGAGGGGGTAAAGCAGGGCATCATACTCGGACTTTGTACCGGCTCAAGGCTTTGGTTGAGGGGTGCTTGGTGCTGGTCTCACACCGATGGGTGGCTCACAATTGGGTAAGGAGGCGTGAGGCTGAGGAAGCTGATGATTCTGGGCCGCATGGCATCAGGCGCAACGTCGAATCGCAACTGTTGATGCAGTCATACCAGTTTCCCAAAAGGGTAAGAGGCTGCATGTGCCTTTACACTGGCCTTAGGCGAAACGGGTTCTTATACAACTGACAGGGGAGTGTGCCTCGCATAGCGACAGCGGAAATCCACCGACAGGCGCGGATTGCGACGGGTAGGTGTATCGAAAAGGGAGCCAGGGAGCCCTGTGGCGTCGTAAGACTGAGCGTTCCCAAGGAAGTGGAAGCGATACGATCTGATCTTGGCACACGGTACATTGTACTGTAGATGCTGAAGGACCCTTAAGGCCCCACCCGTCTCTTTCCTGGTGGTGTGATTCACTGCTGACGCAGAGAAACTTACACTTTTTGCGACATGAGTTGCGCCACGCTGACTGCGATCAACAGCTGCGTGCTCACCATCGTGGTATTATCATCAGCGCCTGGGCAGCAGTCCTGCTACTATACGCAATGCCATTTCTCGAATAGACCAATGGATCGCATGTGCTGGGAGACGGATCGGCATCTACTGGGTTCATCTTGGTCAGCATCCATGAATCAGCCTTCCTGCAGGTGCCCCTGAACCTTCTGAGATGCCCCATCTTGGTCGCAGCCGCTCGAGACAGTATGTGTGGCGATATTGATGCAACAAAGCTTCAGCGTATTCTGATATCCAGTGGGTGGGTTCATCAGTCTCTTCTTCGTCGCGTGAGTAATCCGCCGAAGGCAGGGCGGTAGGTTGCTCCGAGGACGGGAGCAGCACGGACCCTGACACGCCTGATTGCGGCCTCAGCCGCTTCCAATCCAGATGACGTCGCACGCGAACTCCGCTCTCTGACAGCCTGACGCTACCAGGTTTCACATCGCAAGTAACTTTAGGTCGCCAAACGACCAGCGAGAACGCACATATCGAATGAGAACGAGGCATGCTCTCATGGAGAAATATCTGCAAAAACTCGGAGGATTCAAAATCTCGCCGCGTCTTGGGAAACGGGCCGAAACTGAGCACACGCCCATGGCCCAAATGAACCGAGGTGTTTAGCAGTCGAGGCCTCCCCTATATTTTGGAATCAGTACTAGTCCCCCGCCGAACCTCGTCCGCGATCAGTAACCGGTTCAATCTTCACACCGAAGGGGTGTGTATTGCACCGCAGCTTCTAGAAGAGAAGTACATGTATATTATTAGCACGCGCGAGCTGGAGAATAGCAGAATAGCATCATTGTTACCAAATACATAACCGTCAAAACTGCGGGAGGGTATAAAACCAGCGTTGAGTCTAACCAGACACCTACACAACATTTGGAGTTCAAGAACACACCATTCGGCACCAACCCACACGAAAATCAATAACCAGGCTCCAAGATGCAGAATAATCGTCAACTAAGCGATCCGGTGACATTGCCATCCGGTCTTGTGTTCAAGAACAGGCTACTCAAGGTAGACAACGAAGAAAACAAACGCAGTGCGACCATGTCCCTAACACACCCATAGGCAGCGATGGCAGAAACCATGTCAAAGTCTCATGACCCAACAGAGACCCTTATGTCGGCCTACAAAGCATGGGGAAAGGGAGGATGGGGCGGAATCATAACGGGTACAGAACAGCTCTCACGTACTGATATTTTCAAAGACTAACATGCAAAGGCAACGTGATGATCGATGAGCGTTGGCTCGGAAACGCTCTCGATGTCTCTCTCACACCTAGCACTAACCCCGAACTCATTGCTCAATGGCGCAGATATGCAGAAGCGTGCCGTATCGAAGGCACCCCAGCTATCGTCCAGCTTAACCATCCCGGCCGCCAAAGTCCCCTTGGAGCAGGTTCAAAGGGGCTATTCGAGAAGAACATCGCACCAAGCCCCATCGCACTACAGTTCGAAGACAACATTTGGGCAAAGACGGCGCAAAAACTCATCTTCGGCACCCCGCGAGAGATGACAGTCGCGGAAATCGAAGACGTGGTGAAAAGACATGCCGACGCAGCCAAGTTCCTCAGTGAAGCAGGTTTCGACGGCGTAGAGCTGCACGCCGCACACGGATACCTACTCAACATCTTCATGTCCCCGAAGACCAACCAGAGACAGGACAACTACGGCGGCTCAGCGTTCAACCGCGCCCGCATCGTTCTCGACATCATCAATGCTATCCGCGCTGTCGTCCCGTCTACTTTTACAGTCGGCATCAAGCTCAACTCCGCTGACGTCCAACACTCCAGCGATATGGAAGACGTTATGCAACAGATCGGTTTCCTCAAGAATACCGGTATCGACTTCCTCGAGATCAGCGGTGGATCGTACGAGAACCCTAGGATGATGAAGGGCGACGAGCCACAGCCTGGCGAGAAGCCGGTGTCTGAGCGTACCGCGAAGCGCGAGGCTTTCTTCCTGGATTTCGCGAGGGTGGTTAGGCAGAAGTTCCCAGAGGTGGTCTTGATGGTTACGGGCGGTTTCCGCAGCTTGACGGGTATGCGTGCCGCGCTCGAGGAGAATGCTTGTGATTTGATTGGTTTGGCGCGACCAGCTGCTGTGGACTCGAGTTTTGCGAAGAAAATCTTGGAGGCAGAGGCTGCGGGTGGTGATGTCAGTCTGAGGTTGGATGCTGTGAAGCCGAGCTGGTTGGTCAGCAAGATTCCGGTCAAGGCTCTAGGTGCTGGTGCGGAGAGTGTAAGTCTGGCCCCCGAGAAGTGAAAACGTGGATGCTAACGAATTATCAGGCTTTCTACGGCGCTCAGATTGAGCGAATCGGTAAGGGGCTACCAACAAAGACACCTCCTACCACAGCATGAGACGAATCTGGAAGATCTGGGTCGCTTTTATAATATCTTAAACTCTCTTATATCGTCAGCCATCATTTTATACTCAGGAGTTCAACAATAGATTTCCGGGCATTAGACCATTCCAATCAAGCTTCTACACATTGTAAACTATATCCTGGGATTTCTGTAGATGGCCAATTTCCATACTGTAGATGATGTTTTGCGTTCACTAGAAGACTAGTCAATTGTCACCACGCGGCTAAATGGAAAGTGATGTAGACTGTTTACAGCACGTATGTTTTTGTGTCAAGATCTTCACCACTTTGTGCGTCAAGCAAAACGCGGCGACCTCTCTTCCACCTCATGAAGATGAGAAAGCAGCCCAAGGTGCCCGACTGTGCCGCCTCATCCCAGCCTCGAGATTCACCAATCAACGCCTCGCATTAGGTACAGGTTTCCAGTAAATCGTGCGTTCGACGGAGATCTCCAAACCTGCCGGATGCGGTATACTGAACTTGGCCAATGAACGGTTTCCTTTTGGTACCAGTTTCCAGTAATGGGCCGCCTGTTGCAGTATTCGACGGATTTTAGGTCCTGCCTGATGGAGGAGGTTGACAATAGCCAATGGGCTTGCAGTTTGGAGGGCCGAGTTGCTTCCATGCCGTCTTCAATGGATTTCAAAAGCTGCCTTATTCGGATGACTGCGCTCAGCCAGTGAGAATGCGTTTTATGTACCTAGTTTAAGGTTTTTGGCCGCTGTGCACTTGGAGAGTGCTCCAGCTTTCGATGGTTGTTGAAAACTTCCGAATGCGGTAGGTTGAGCTCGGACCACCACTGAGCCGCGGCGATCCCAAAAGATTTGGGACTTGCACGGCGGGCTGCATCATCGTGTCATTCACGTCTGCTGTGCTTTTTACAACTCGCTGCTTTTTTGCGGCGCCTCCGTCCATGTCTATATGCTCTAATTCGGTGCGAGCATTGTCGCGCTCTCGAGTTTCGCCAAGCAAAACGCTCCTTCCGTTCCTGTACCAGACACCCACGATCCAGCAATGGCAGTCCGCCACACGACCAGTTGCTCGCCGCAATATTCGCATCCCTTCGCGCCCGTACGTTAGCGAGGACATTCCCTTCGAAGACGATGCAGATCTACCGCCTGTTGTCGATCAACAGCCTCCCCGAAAGACTACTATATCTCGCACCGAGCGGGCCGTGTTCCAGAAGTTGTACAGGAAGTTTGATAATGAAGGGCGCCAACAGAAGAAGAAAGACCCTTTGGTAGATGTCGACGAGGTGTTCGAAGAGTTCCAGAAAAATACAGAAGATATCCCGAGTACAGAAGATATCCCGAGACCCTCGCTAGACAAGGTTTTCGACGAAGTGCTGAGAGGCGACCCGCGATTGCGCGCATTGCGTACACAGAGAACGAGGGCTCGATCTAACAAGCAAGATGCCGCTGGTGCAGAAGTGGGCAAAACGCAGAGTAGCAAGAAGAAGGGCTCGAGTGTGGAGGCAGCAAAGCTCAGAGAATTGCGTCTAGCGGAACAAGAACGGATCGATAGCCTCATACGCAACGCACCCACCGATCGCGCCCTCTGGCAAACCCTCGAGCGCGAAGTCTTTGCCAAAGTACGCGACCTCGATCTCGACAACGCCAGCGGCAGCCCCACGAAAGAGCCAACCGCCAAACCCAGCAACAACGCATCGAAGAAGTCATCAGAAGCAAAAGCCGCTTACAAACCCTCCCCACCCTCTACCGACGCACGCATCCTCTTCCACAACTACCCATACCACCTCATCACCGCCGTCACCACGCTACGCACCGAATTCCCCTCCTCCCCCCTCCCCTTCTCCATCCTGCCCACGATCAAAAAGCTCGGCCGCTCCTCGCACGCCCTCGGCGCAACAACAACGCTCTACAAGCACCTGATCCGGACGGCATGGATCCAGCAAGCCTCCTACATAACCATAAACATGCTGCTCAAAGAAATGGACGACAACGCCATCGACTTCGACGCCGACATCCTCGGCCTCCTCGACGCAATAATCAAGGAACACAACCAGGCGAGGAGTGGTGGGCTAGGCAAAGAGATGGCCATGTTGTATGGCATGGAGATGTTTGCTGATGGCCTTACGAAGATTAATACGTGGAGGAAGGTGGTGGCGGAGAGATTGGGTTTGAAGAGTGAGGAGAAGAGGGCGAGTAGCTCGCTTGTTAGGAAGACGATGGGGTCGGATGATCCGAACTGGAAGGGGCGGAGTGGGTGGTGGATGAAGGACGGTAGTGCACAGGGGCCTGGGCCACGCGAGAAGACTGGCGCGCAGGAGTATATGCCGCTTGTTGAAGGCGTTAATCCGGGCGTTGATGGGTCTCTCCCGGAGACGGCGTCTGCAAAGGGCGGCGAGCAGGTCGTTCCGTCTGAAGATGCGGTTCCAGCGAGTGAGGAGACCGCTGCTGAACTGTCAAAGGAAGACGAGCCCACCGATGATAAACGTGCAGAAGTCTTAGTATAGCGTCGTCATGTATAATACACGGTATTGTCACCCCAGACCCAAATATTCATTCCGCAGACAGGAAGTATTCCTTACTTTCCATAACGACCCAGGCCACCATAAATCAGTTCAACAGGGTCTGTAATTATAGCTACACTCCACGCCAATTCAACATGTACACCGACGAAGTTTCCAATATCTACATGGGATTGGTCCAAACGGGCCTGTTGTTGGTCCAGTCAGCCTGCAGGGCATCAATCTTCTCAATAAGCCCCTTGAGAATAAGTGCATCAGGTGTCCCCCTCTCCGCTGCCTCTCTCTGCGCAACCGAGGTATATCCATCCACCAGCTTGTCCAGGTACAGATCTACCAATCTGAAGCTGTTTGTAATAGCCGCCGCATTCTGAGTACGCATATACGTATTCCACTTTGTCTGCAGATCCAGACTTCGCCACGTGACCTGCCGACCGTTGATGGTCTTTGTAATTTGCGGCAGGTAAATCGTTTCGAGGTCGTTGAACATTTGGCCGACCCGGTCTTTCTGGGCAACCAGCGTTTGGCTGATGAAAGGATCAATGTGGTAGCGGATGGCAGCGATGGTATCTTTGACGTATTTGAAGAGCTTTGTACCGTCGCCCGTATATGTATCGAGCGTGTCGGAATTGCGTGCGTCACTGACGCCCCAAAGACCTTCTTTGAGGTTGTTGACCTCACCGTCGAGAAGAACGAGCTCGTTGCTCCATTGGTTGGTATGGCTGGGGAAGACAGCGCCAACCCAATCGATGGCGGACTTGGTCACACCGTTGATAGTGATTCTTTCTGCAACTCTGATGTCGTACCAGAAGCTTTGAACGCACTTGCAAAAGTTGGTACTTGCTTGTGGGTTGTAACAGTTGACCTTGGTCAAAGCACTAGACTTTGTCGGCTTGGCGTATTTTTCGAAGAAGTTTTTGACCATTTGGAATTCCAAGATATGCTCTGTGGCGAAGCGTCCTGTGTTACCGGCAGTGGGCGTTGCAATCTGACCGAAACCCATGTCAAGACAGTCGTTGTAGTTGTTGTAGCCATATGTCGGTATATTTGGGAGTACCTGTGCAGGTGCACGTCAGCGAGGTCAACTTGTAATTGCAAAGGTTCGCCAGGGAAGTATAGCCTACAAAGCCCAACCTTGAAGACTCATGTAAGGTGACTTACGGTCAATATGGTACCAGAGGTGTGGAAGTCAGCGCTAACGATGACCATCTTGCCACCGAGTTTATCGGCGCAGAACTCCTGGGTTTTGCGATCTAAACTTCGTGAAAAGACATGATTGAGGGTCACATCGCCAGATGCACGCTTTGCCAGAGAGCTACTACCGTCCACCACATGTGAAAGCTCTGAACACTCAGAACCTTGGTTATCGGGGCTTCCTCCAGGGCTGGGGCACAGCAGGTCCTGTAGGGGAATGTGGAATGGGGGACCCCAGGGTGTGACGCGTTTGCCAAATCGATGTACCGCTGTGGCATTGTTCGCAATTCCCGAGTGCTCATAAGGGTGGTAAAGAGGATGAGTACCGTCGATCGACGTGAAACCACGCTTAGTAGGCGCGCCTGATTGAAGGTCGGGACATTGGCCACCCTCAGGAAGACCGACCTCACCAGATCCTGGGAGATCCCACGTCTTGGTTCCCCAACCGAATGCTGGCGGAGTACTGACCTGCGCATATAACTTTGCGCCCACGTAGAAGCCATATGTCCACGGACATGAAGCTTCGGTGCTCTTACCAGCTCCAACCTCCATGCGAACATAGCCGTCAGCAACAACTCCGGCTGTTGCGGCCCCAACCTTCCAGCTGTCATCAAAGCGAATACCAAACTCTGCGATGGCCTTGAGATGGGCTTCAGCCTGGCCTGAAGCTAGAACAGAAGCGTAGAATTGAGGTTCCAACAGGCCGTTTTTGTCGCCCGTCTCTCCAGAATCCAGTTCCTTGTCAGCCTGAGGCTCGTATTCCTCAGAGGCGGCTGGATAAGTTTGCCGGACGTCCCATTCCGCAAGATCGATCTTGGTTTCTATCTCGGCAGATAGTGTGAGGCCAGCGTTGAACTCGCCAACCACGCGGACAGAGGGACCGATAGTGACAATGCCAGGGACTCGGAATGTTGCGCCTGGGAAGGGAAGGGTAAGAATTGTCTTCTCTCCCGACTCGTACGAAACCTTGACCATGGCTTCGAGAGTGAACACCGCAGTGACCCTACCACTGTTGCTGAATGTAAGGTACGACTGGCTCAGGTCAAGAGAGCCGCCTGGATTATCGAAATTGAGCTTCGTGATGAGGGTGAAGCCAAAACTGGTGGAGATTTCGACATCTGTGAGAGCCTGAACCAAGACATGAGCATTGAATTTGGCCGGTCCTGTGCCACACTCGACTTTGTCGTCAATGATTTTGGCGATGAATTGCTCATTCACGTCATGTGTGAACTCTTTTTCGATCTTGGGGCTGACTAAGTTGGTGAGCCAGGCAAGCACGTCGGATCCGAACCATCGCTTGTGAAGCTCTTCATGACTAAGAGCACCACTGTGATAGTCGTCTCGCCACTCCTCTTCGAGCCATCTCTTATGATTGCCGTCAAAGTCAGACAAGGAGCGTTTAGATTTACGCTTTGTGCTCGCAGCTGCGACAACGTTGTCCCAGTAGTCGTTCTTGTTGGAAAAGTCTATCCTCATCTGGGTATCACCAGAATCTCGGGGAACGCGCCTGAAGTTGTAGTCGAAAGTCAGATCGTAGACCATTGGCATATGTGACGCTCGCTTCCGAAGATGGTGTGGAATTGTTTGATTGACAGCAGGGACCATATGTTTCGCGACGGCATAGCGACCGGCTCCACAGCCAGCTGGCATTTCCAGGATGGTACCGGGTACGCCGTGTCCAAGTCCGATGTTTTGACAATTGTTGTTCTCTGAGCCGTCAATGCAAAACATCTGGATGGTTTGCTCCTCTTCACTCGGCCCGCCTTGGCAGTTGAACAGTTCCCAATGAGAGCCATCGCGTTTATCGAGAGAATGTTGCAGTTCTTTAGGCGATGCGAGTACAACGAATTGAAATGCAGCATTGGAAGGGTCATCGTCGGTCTTGTCGCCCTGTCCACCAAAGGTGTCGTCCACATTGAGCTCGAAGTCCGTATCGACGTCGTCTCCAGTCGGGGGATCGCTGAATAGCCGATCGAGTGGTACCGGAAGGAATAGCTGTTTACCATCGGTTGGGTCGCAGCAGTAGACTCTGTTTCTTTCCAGTCGAGGGAAGCAGGATTGCCCAAAACCGTACGGGCTGTCCGTGAGTTGCACTTGCTTTCCGACCGGGCAATGGTTGTCGAAGCAAGATCCGGGCTCTCCGTACCACCGGCAGTTCTTCCAGTTCTTGGCGTCTTTCTTTGGGCAGCAGTATCGTTTCTGCATGTCAACGTCAACTGCTTCGAGCCAATCAACCAGAGCATTATCGATCAAAGTCATCGCGTCTGCAATGTCGGCGATTGTGCTCAGAAATGTGCCTGAAAAGGTCATCGTCGTGTCGTCGCCGTTGCAATCCTTGCCGACGCCTGCCCAGTAGCAGTCATGACCCTTAGCCGCAGGTGACTCGCAGCAATATGCTTTGTTTCCGTCTTCACAGTATTTCCCATCACCCCACTTGTTCATCTGCAACAGTACCTCATTGTCATGGCAGCGGCCATTACATGGAGGTGCTTCGCCGCGCCAGTGGCACTTGTCGGGATCTGGTGCACTGGAAACTGGACAGCACAGCTGGCTGTCCTTGCCTTTGGACCTGCGCGTGACAGGCTTCGCGCCACCGCATGGTTGCTGTTCGATTTTGAAGAAACCAGCCTTACAAGTACCGCCACAGTCAGTGACATAGCAATCCGGTACAGTCGCATCGTCCCAAAAGGAAGCGTCATCGGCAGTCATCGCGAGGGCTTTGACAGATTTTGGAGACACGACGGCGTTGAGAGCATCCAAATCATCCGTGTCTTGATCAATGGCCCAGATGAGTAGTCCGCCGAGGCCTAGCTTGTTGGCAAAGTCGATCTTCGCCTTGAATGTGTCTTTGTCATCATACGACACCCATTGATCTTGGTTCCAGGTGATGTACTTGACTTGAGCCTCCTTGTCTAAGAGCACAAAAAGCGATTAGCCTATCTATCACATGTGCTGGTTCCGTCGTGGCTGCTTACCATAGTAAGGACTGATCTTGTGCTGTTTGATCACTTGTTGAATCTCTTTGTATGTCAAAGTTCCTGAGTTGTCGGAACAGGGACCAGGAGATGCTCCGCCCTTGAAATTGCAGCCAGGTCGGTAGCAAGAGGGGTCTGATAGCTGGAAACTGCGACCATAGAACCCCAGCCCGAGATTGAGCTTCTCTGGTTTGATGTCGTTGCGCCAAAAAAGATCCAAGGCTAACTTGATCTCGGTTAAGTTCGAATGCCCATATATATGATTACCGATCGGGTTCGTTGAGTCCCAGATCTAGACACATATGTTAGCGCTTGCTCGAAATAAGATGTTCACATCATCGCTGCATCCGACACCCAGACCAGCTTACAAGCAGCTTGTGGGAAGGGCAATCCCGCAAAGGTGTGTCACCTCTTCATCTCGGCGTCTGACCTTCCGACATACACGAGTGCAGAAGCGGGAGGCAAATATTTGGCTTGACTTACTCCATGAAGATCATAGCTCATGACGTTGACGAAGTCGACGTAATCCACAGCTTTCAGATCAAAATGCCTCAGATACCAGAAGCTAGTAGGAACAGTGAAGGAGACAACATAATGCATGAGCTGCTTGTCGTTCTCCTCGTTAAGTTCCTTCAAGAACGTGACAAAGTTTTTGCCGTCTTCAGGCTTACCCCCTCGATCGGTTGCTCCGGGATACTCCCAGTCGAAGTCCACACCGTCAAATGCGTACTGTCTCATAAACGCGAATAACTTTTTAATGAACAAGGCGCGATTAGCAGCAGTGCTAACCATGTCGCTGAAGACCGGCTGAGTTGCGGT